CCTCACGATGCCTTCCCAGATTCCCTGCGGTTCCAAAGGGTTCCGCAGGGTCCCCCAGGATTCCTCAGGGTCCAGAGGGGCTCCCCACAGTTCCTGAGGGCTCTTCGGCTTCCTTCATCATGGCTCCTCAGGATTCCGCAGCGCCCCTGAGGAATCCAGATGATACGGGGGCACTCGGGGAGTAGTATAGGCATGCTGTGAGACTGTATAAGGGGCACTCGCGGAGACCCAAAATAATGCGAAACCGCATGGGTCTTACAGGTCCTCCCTATGGAAATACTATTTGTACTTACGTGTGCAATTGTAAACGTATCTCGTTGCGCAAACATATATGATTGCACAACAATTGAGTCACGTAGTACCAAATATGATTGCGCACGCATCCGTACAAGGTCCGCCCCGCTGGTGCTTGCGAATCTCGCACTGCGATTAAAAGGAACTTGGGAAGCTGCAACAGCTTCACGCACAACTTCCTTTGAGCAACGCACATTCGCGGACTCTTTCCTGGCGTCTCGCCGGTAAACAGGCCAGCCTGCCAGGCAAAACAACTACTCCGGCGGGAAGAGAGGAGAAGCAAGACAAGCCCACCCCTCCCGGACAATCCTCTGAGGAGCTGCCAGGGTACTGGAACCGGTACGAGATGCTCATCCTCGAGGCGCCCTCGTCCTTCTGCTCCATGTCCTCCACACGGAACCCGCGGTAGGCGCGCATGACGTACGTCTCCAGGGCGTTCTGGCAAGGGACGGGGGAGGGGGAACTGGCAACGGCACCAGCTCCGCTTGCGTGACGCCGTGGAGGCGCAGCGGAGGGGGCGCCCAGGCGCCGGAAAATCAGAGTACGAGGTGAACGTAATGACGAGGAAAACAAAGCACAGAGGGGAGGAGGACGACGAGGACCACAATTGTCTTGCTTCCGCATCGCCCTCATCGTCCTTCTCCTGCTCATCCTCACCATCCTCACCGTTCTCGCACGTCCCCTCCTCTTCCTGCGCTTCCTCATCGTCCTCACCATCCTCTTCCCTCCCCTCATCCTCCTCCCCTGCTTCCTCACCATCCGTGTCCTGCCCCTGCTCCTGCGATCCTCTGAGGTGCGTGGGCGAGGCACGGCCCTGACCCTCGCGGACTGTCCTCTCCTCCAACTCCTCCCCCTCCTCCTCCTCCTCCTCCTCCTCCTCCTCCTCCTCCTCCTCATCCTCCTCATCCTCCTCCTCCTCCTCCTCCTCCTCCTCCTCCTCCTCCTCCTCCGCCTCCGGCGTCCTTGCGAACGGTAGCGTCCTCGTCCTTGAGGTGGATGCTGAGCAGGTCCACGCCAGCCTGCAGCGCCTGCGGAGTGCCCCTAGGTACCCGAGACATCCAAGGGGAGGCTCAAGCCCTCCTCCTCCTCCTCCTCCTCCTCCGTCCCTCCCCTCCCTCCCTCCCTTCCCTCCCTTCCAACCTTTTACCGCCTCCTCCTCCTCCTCCTCCTCATCCTCCTCCTCGTCCTCCGCAATCGCACATTATGACTGCCACTCTCCTCGATCCCCCGACCCTGTCCAGAAGAGAGCTGGCCCTCTCCACGCACTGTTTTCACACTCAAGCTTTCAAAACATGGTGCTCCCATGTTGTTGTTTACACTCCGATTGTATCCGGTGTTTCAAATCAGTGATCACGCGGCAACGTAGGCCTCGTGTTCGGATCGGTGCCGCTTTGCTCCCGTTGTTCACACTGGCACTCCCGTCCCAGCGCGGGGAACTGTTCTGGATCTGCGTCCTCTTGTATCGCTGTCGCCCCCCTCATTCCCCCTCCTCCGCCTTTCCCTGGTCCACCTGCTACTCCCGCAACGTGCACTCAAGCTCCTGCCGCTGAGGTTCCTCCTCGTCCCCCTCCTTCCTCATCCTCCTATTTGTCTTTCTGCTCATCCTCCTGCTCATCCGCCACCTCCTCATCCAATGTACGGAACTCCATTTTGCTTGCTCATTGTGCATCGAACGATGGCGGTCCTCGTTTGAATTCCAGATCCGCTATGACAAGCGTCGGCGGATAGAGAAAAGGCAGCGCAATGGGATGAGCGAGAGGGACAGGATGACAGGTATGGCGCGAGCGAACCCACTCCTGCTGCTCCTCCTCCCCCTCCTCTCCCTCCTCTCTTTCCCGTCTCCCCCCTCCTCCTCCCCCTCCTCCTTCCCCCTTTCCCCTCGCCGTTCCCCACCTCATGATGCTCTTATGTCTCTGTTCCTGCTGGCGGATGTTACCGCGAGCCAGACCTGTGATTGTTCGAAGCACGCCCGCGAGCGAGGAAAGGGGCGGGCGGGACAGCAGACGAACGGACCAGGAGGGGGAGCGGCGGGGAGCATGAGGGCCAGGGGTGAGGAGGAGTCGTTGCTGTTTTTCCTGCCGCAGCACAGCACAGCCCAAACCCCGGGCGTCGTGGTGCGTACTGGCAGGGCCCGGGCAGCCCGGTGAGAAAAACAAACAGGAGCCAGAGGAGCAGGGAAGAGCCCCTGAGCTGCCACCCTGGCTCCAAAGTGGGCGTTCCCTCATTCGGAAGGGGCCCCCAGGGCACACGAATAAATACACACAAACAAAAAGATCCCCCATATTTTCCAATATTAGCTGGCTTTCTGTCTTCCCCGGATCGACGATTAATTGTGTCTGTGCGTTTCTTTCCCTCCTGACATTCGCCCCAAGTTGCTCGGGGATGGACAGAACCACCTTTGGCAAGACGTGGCTTCGTGAAAACGACCTCGGGCCCAAACCTGGCGGGCGCAAGCCTGGAAAACGAAGGCCGCGGCGCCCTCTCGAGAACCGAAAACGGACAATTAACTAATCGACGTGTCAGGGTGAGGGTTCTGTCCACCCCCGAGGTATACCCCTGCCAACTTCTGGCTGATAGAGCGCAGGTATGCGTGAAACCAACGCACGTCGTGCTCTCCCCACCGCCCAATAATTCCTAACCCTCATAGCCGCTCGCTCTGGGCCCCACCAGATGCGTGAGGAGCTGATGGAGATGCTGAACCTGGGATTCTGGGCTGACTTCGCGCGGGGCCCGAAGGGTCAACCTAACTGTCCAAGACGAGAAAGAGGAGAGAAAGAGGGGAGGAGGAGAGGAAAAGAAGAGGACGAGGAGCAGTAACAGGAACCTGCCGACCCTGTCGGCGCGTGTGGGATGAACATCTGGGCTGGTCGTCTCGGGGCGGTCCTGGGAGACACCCCTCATTCCAAGCGCTTCCTCCCCTCCCCAGCGGCCACCTGTCGTCTTACAGGCTCGCCAAGCCGAGGGGACCCGAGCGAGGTTGCAATATCGTGGTCCGCGACGGGTCGGAGGGAGGCCCGTTCCTGTTGATCCCTGCCCCGCCCGAGGGGTGGGCCCTGGGTTGGAGCACGGCCCATCCCCCTACACGTAAGTCGGACCTGTCCCCCTACAGGGGGATTTTCGACGAAAAACAAGAAATACCACCCAAATAGTTGAAAAATAATCCAAGAATTGTCTGGGGACTAATTTTCTCTAATTTGTTTTAATAGTTTTGGGGTATTTTGAATTTTCGTTGAAAATCCCCCTGTAGGGGGACACGCTCGACATAACCCTACACTTTTCGGGTCATATTCTGGCAGCCCTGATCCTTCTTCGGCAACTTGAACCCAAGACAATCCAAGAGGGGCCTGAAACGGGCCAAGAGCGCTGCAACACGGCCCCAGAATCCTTCAAGGCGGCCCAAGAAGTCCACAAGACGCCCCAAGAGAGCTCCAAGAGGACCCCGAAAAGAGCCCCAATGGCAACAGGTACAGATTTCGATGTGTTTTCTGGTGGATAATCGCGTTTCAGCTTATACGAGCTTCCGACCGCCCCTGTCCGCCTCAAACCATCCCAGGATGCCCCCAAGAGGCCCCCCCAACAACCACGAGAGCCCCAATACGGCCAACGAAACCCCCCTAAGAGGGCCCAAGAGGCTCCCACGAGGCCCTGGAGAGTGGCTCCAGAAGGAAAGCCAAACTGCAAGGCTGAGCCATTCCTCGAAACATAGCCGCCGAGACAAGATGCCCGCAGGCCTCCCGAAAGACCCCTCCCCAACGAGCTTCTGCGAGCCCGCGACCTGCGTGAGGCCTTCCTGCGGATACCCCCCTTCGAGGTCGGCGGAACTGGCTGTGAGGCCTCGCCAATAAAGTGAGATGGACCAGGAGGGGCATGGGCGGGAGGAGGAGGAGGAGGAGGAGTCTGAGAATCAGATGGACGCCAGCGTGAGGAGAGGAGTCGTCCACGGCCACGGCCAAAGACCCCTGCGGCCTCCTGCCCTGCCCGACGCCGTCCTCGCTGGCATTGTCAGCACCAGCGACGGAGGAACCGGCAACGACGGACACCGCGGCAGCCCCCCCCAAAAAAAAACGAGACACGATGCGCCACTGTAGGGGGCCACATGCGAACCCTACCCCTGCCCCCCACGATTTCTGAGGAGGAGGGTGGGGTTCACTTCGTTTGGGAGCTCCCGACCGAAGTGAACCCCACCCTCCCCCTCAAAAATCGTGGGGGGCAGGGGTAGGGTTCGCATGTGGCCCCCTAACTGATGATCACGATGCGGCACAGCGCCAGGGACGACGCCGCACTTCGGCCCTCGGTCAGAGGGGCCCGCCCCGCCGCGGCCGAGAGCGGAGCCCGGGCACTTCGTGCAGCCGCGCCGGACACTTTCTCGGCAGAGTGTCCGGCGCCGTGCCGCACGGGGAGCAGGAGGCGGAGCGGGAGGGGCCCCTCCCCCCTCCGTGGGAGGGCCTTCTGCTGGCTCATGGCGAAGTTGGCCTTGGAGTCGGAGGCCTTCAAGGCATCCCTGAGGTCGTCCGCGCGCTCCTCGCAGCGCGGGGCGGCGATTCGACACTTCACCTCGTCCTCCTCCTCCTCCTCCTCCTCCGCCTCCTCCTCCTCCTCCTCCTCCTCCTCCTCCTCCTCTTCCTCCTCTTTATCCAGGACGGGGAGGAGGAGGGAGCAGAAAAGAAGGACGATCGATCGATCGGTCAAGCTCTCGGGCCAGGTCGGTGCTACACTACCTCCACTCGAGCACCACAGCTTTTGAACATCCAGCAAGGCCTGGCTGTGGCCTCTTCGTTGAGAGGGGGGTCGTGGGCGCTATTCTGCGCTCAGGCCCTCTGCGCACCGTCCTCACCCATGCAGGGGACTGCGCAAAGGGAGGAGCAGCAGCAGGAGGAGTAGCAGGGGCAGACGGCAGAGCAGGAGCAGGAGGACGGGGACCAGAAAGAGAGGATGACGGCGGGGCTGGGGAGCGGGGCGCCCTCTTCCTCCCTCCGCCACCCTCGACTTTTTCTTTTCCACGTCACCCATTTTCTTCCGCCTCCTCCTCCTCCTTCTCCTCCTCATCCTCCTCCTCCTCCTCTTCTCCATTTTTACCCCTACCCGTCATAACCATCACCAGAATCAGCACCACTACCATCATGATCGTCCTCCCTTCTTACCAGCCTCGACCTTATCCCTATCCCTAAGATTGACACGCCAAAAGGCGATGACAATCTTAGGGATGCGCCCCCCAAAAATAAGGGAACCCCTAAGATTGGCATCGTGATGAGGAGATGCCCAGCATAGGGATAGGGATATGTTCCAGGCTGGTAACCTTCGTCTCCCCCTCCCGCCCCCAAAGAAGGCACTGCCCGCTCCAGCAGTGGCGGGCCCGCAGGGGGTCCTGGGCTCGCAAGATGTCCCTCCTTCATCCTTCTGCCCCTCCGCCTCGCTCTCGAACTGCTCCTCTTCCTCCTCGTCCATCTCCTCCTCCTCCTCCTCTTCCTCCTCCTCCTCCTCCTACCTTTCCTCCTCCTCCTCCTCCTCCTCCTCCTCCTCCCTTTCCTCCTCCTCCTCCTCCTCCTCGTCCTCTTCCTCCTCCTCTTCCTCCTCGTCCTCCTCGTCCGCGTCGTCCTCATCCTTCTCTTCTCCCCCCATCTCCTCCTTTTACATCTCGTCCTATATTTATCGTCGTCGTTCTTGTCCTTCTCCTCCTCCTCCTCCTCCTCTTCCTCCTCCTCCTCCTCCTCCTCCTCCTCCTCCTCCTCGTCATCAACAGCAGCACCACGGAGCCCTGTCTCGATTCCACGATCTTCTTGACATTTGAACATTATATCGCAACGTGGTCGAAGCTTGTAGGAGCTATTCCGAAGCCGGTTCAAGCTAATTCGAGCGATACGCGCTAGCAGGCCGAACTAGCTCGAACTAGCCTCGATAAGCTTGAATGAGCTTCGAACTGCTTGGCATTAGCTTGACTAGCTCCGAATTGGCTTGACCAGCTCCGAATTAGGCCGAACTGGCTCGAATTAGCTTGAATAGCTCCGCACTGGCTCGAACTACTTGGCAATCGCTCGCAGATTCTCGCGTGGGCCCCAGGCGTTCTTGCCCCGTGGACTCCCTGGTGGGCTCCCAACCCTCCTGGACGTCAGGGCAAGCGACAGCAGCACAATCCGAGCTTGGTCGAAGCTGGCACAAAACATTTCGAGCAAGTGTGAGCTAATAGCTGGAGCAAGTTCGGAGCTAGCTCGGACTCATTCGGAGCCAAGTAAAGCGAATCCAAACCAATTCGACAGCACTCGCCACGAATTACGCGGCCCTCAGACTCGACGGACATCTCGTCGACAACCCCGATGACGCTGTCAGAGACGGTGGCGCAAGCCGGACAGCGTCCGCCGCATCCCGCGTCGACCAGGGCCACGACTGGCACCAGCGATGTGGGGCCAGGAGTGGAAGCTGAGATCCGAGCCTTGATGGACGTCGTGCCGCAGCCAGGCTCCCCATGCAGGCGCGCCGCGTTGCCTGGACCTGCGCCGAGGAAGCCCGCAGCTGCTGGCTGCGAAGCACACACCGCGCGCTGCTTGCGCACTGGCATGCCGTTGGACAAGCGGCTCCGTGTCTCACTGTGCTGGATCAGCGTCCGGATCCTCGGCGCCCAAAGCCTCGTCGGCCTTGTGGCCAGCGTGAACCATGGCGATGACCACGGCTCCGGCCTTCATAACATCCCGCACCCTGGATGACCTGAGTCGAAACTGATGCTGGACCCGTCGCTGCCGACGGCGATGATCCTGTTGCCGATCTGCAGGCCGCGGAGGACGTCTCTGTCAAGGACCCTCAGGTCTGGTCTGGAACGAGAGCGCGACAGTGGATAGTCTGACGGCAATCTTGCCGCTCCTCCTGCAACCCGCTGCCGCTCGGCACATCCATCAGGGAGGCCTCGCGCACGATGTCGTTCGACATGGGTGCGATCACCTGGGTCGCGCTGCATGGACAAATGGCCGCATTGGCGCTGCTCGCCTCGCCATCGCCCCAGCTCTTGAGGACCTGATGCGCTGGCGAGTCGACCGGCGCGACTTGGCTTCGCCACCGATAGACACTTGACCAAGCAACGAACTGCTTGTCCTCAAGATCGCTGGTTACCCGATGGGTCCTGGCCCCCTTCAGGATGGGGGCTCGAATGCTCCATTTCGCCGCGTGCACAGACGAAGGTCTGCGCTCTCGACAACATCGCCATCATCGGTCTGTTCTGCCGCCATGGCCTCGCCTCAGGCAGAAGAGGCAGGCGTTGCTGCTTGGTGGCTTGAAGAGACCTGCGATCGCAGTCAAAGTCAGCTCGGTGCTAGACGAGCTCGCCCAACTCATCAATGCGATGCGCCAAGGTCGGCTTGCAGAGCCGCTTCATGACATCAGCTGCACCACTCTCGACCTCGGAGGTCATAGCGCCGTCTCAGCTCGAGCTGGCCTGCAAAGCTGGCCTGTCTCATGTCACATCTCCTGGGGACGCCAACCTCACAGCTGATCAGCATGCCAGTGGTCTCAATCGACGATCAGGTCCTGGGGCATCTCAAGTCGCCGCAGAAGTCGCTGCAGTCGCTGCAGCTTTTGGAGCTGCTGCCGCCGCGGCCCCTAAATCTCTGACTTCGGGTAGCTGAGTCCTCGAACTTCCCGTCGGGCTCGGGCCAGCGCGCGTGAGGGCACAGGCAAACACAAAGAACTACCACGAACCCCGCAAGGGCAGGGTTAAACGACAGCGCGCTGGACTGACGCAGGTCCGGCTGGACCGACGGGGCTGAGATGCGCTGACATGGGTCTGGCCGGATTTCAAGAATGCGGCCGCGCGCCCAACCTGATTAAAGCGAATGAGAGTCTTCCAGGTTGTAACTAGCACCAGAGCCCAACGCTTGTGATTCAAATAACCCTCAACCCGATGACGCGTGCTGTACCTGTCGTAAACGCCGCGGGAGGAATAGTCCGCGACCTCGATGACAGCGGAACGCATCTGTACTGAACAAGCTGGTCAAGCTGCCTGTTACGCAGCTTCTTGAGGGCGGTCGTGTCTTTCCGGCCGTCGTACTCGGAATGCTCGCCGCCTTACTTGTCGCATGTGGCGTCGTGCCTGCGGTATTTGTCGTACCTGCCGCGCTTGGTGCCGTACTTGGTGGTGGCGTACTTGTCAGGTTTTGCTGCCGTGCCTGGCGCCCTCCTTTGGCCCAAATCAATTCTACACTCCACCTTCCAGCCAGTCCTCCCCTCTCCACCCTTCCATGCTCTCCTCTCCCCCACTTCCTTTTGCCCCTCGAGGTAAGGGGTGTGAGGGTGGGAGGGGGAAGAGGCCAGGGGGGGCGTGCGTGTTCGCGAAGATGGGGAGCGAGATTCTACGATTTTGGAAGTCACCTTCGGCACCCCGAGGACATGTAGAAGTGGGGTGTACACACGGAGGCGCCCCAGGTTCTACTCGGTTGATATTCGCTTCGCAGGAACATGTCCAGCAGCATTCGCTCCTGCCTTAAGTATGAAGTCGGTTCCTCCTCCCCCTCCTCCTCGTGCTACTCTCTCTGCCTCCTCATCCTCCTCCTCCTCCTCCTCTTCCTCCTCCTCCTTCTCCTCCTCCTCCTTCTCCTCCTTGAGGCCCACCTCGTCCTCTTCCTCCTCCTCCTCCTCCTCCTCGTCGATTCGGCTCGGAGTTCGGGCAGCAGGGCCAGCCGACGCAGCTCGTGCAGAGGGTCCTCCTCCTCCCCCCCGCCCGAAGCCACAGGACCGCATCCTTGAAGGGCTTGGCGTCGATGATGGACAGCTTGCGGCCAGCTTCGAGCACCACCTCGTCGTAGCCGATCTTCGTCGGCAGCTCAGCAAGCTGAGATATCACCTCCCAGCCGCATTCATTCGGAGAGGGGGGGGGGGGGGGGGGGGGGGCAAACGTGGAGGGCAAAGCATCCACCCCCATACTAACCACCCCGACAAGCGAAGCCGTGCAGAAAACGCACCCAAAGAAAGAATCGAACAGGGTGGGGCTGCTCAGTGAACGCCCCAAAGCCGTTTAGCAAATACCAGTTAACGGGTCCGGGTGTCTTTTCTTCCCTTGCGAACGGTCTGGTGACCACACCCATACTAACCACCCCGACAAGTGCAGCAAACGCACCCGAAGAAGGAATCGAACAGCAGGCTAGGGCTGTTAAGTAAACGCTCCAGGGTCGTTGAGTAAACGCCAGTTATCGGGTCCGGGTGTCTTTTCTTCCCTTGAAAACGGCTTGGTGACCACCCCCATATTAACCACCCCGACAAGTGCAGTACACGCAACCAAAGAAGGAATCGAACAGGCTGGGGCTGTTTAGTAAACGCCCCAGGGCCGTTGAACAAAAGCCAGTTATCGGACCCGAGTGTCTTTTCTTCCCTTGAGAACGGTTTGGTGACCACACCGACTGGTGACTCAGCGGGGACTCGGGCCCACCGCACGGTTTTGGGTCAAGTCGGGCGTGTCCCCCCTACAGGGGGATCTTGGGCGAAAAATGAGAAATACTTAAAAAATACCCCCCAAATGCTCAAAAATAATTTTAAAAAATCGTCCCCAGACAATTTTTCACTGCTTTTGAATCTCCCCCTGTACAGGGCCAGGCCCGACCTCAATTTTGGGATGCGGGCCGTTCTCCGAGGATGTCTGGGGCAGCCGGGGCCTCCGAGGCCCCAGGACCGCGCGGCGGCGGACCGCGCGGTGAGGCCCCTTGGGGCCCCGAAGTCGCCGCGCGGACCCGTCACCACGCGGTGTGGGGCCCCCGGTGGATCATGGAGCAGGCCTCAGAGGTACGAGGGTGCTGGGCGTGGCTTCATGGGGGGGTCACAAATGGGGGGGTCAGAAAAGGCCCCCTTTCGCGCCCCTTTCGGGCCCCTCCTCGAGCCCCCAGGAGGCTCGTTCAGGTACCATTTGGGTACCTTTTCGGGCCACCCTCGCCACCCCCCCATTTACGATCCCCCCATTACGCAGCGCCCAAGGGTGCAGGGTGCAGGTGCGGCCGGGAGCCCGCGCACGGGCGCCCGGCCTCGCGCCGGGGCCCGGCAGCCCCAAGCCGGCCCTCCGCCCTGCCTCCCTCTACGGCCCCCTTCTGCCCTCCACGCCTTCCCGTGCGCCCTTTCCCGGGCGTCCCCGCCCCCCCCCCCCGGCCTCCCTCCGCGCGCGCTCCCTAGCCTGCTTCCCTCCTGCCCTCTCTCGTCTCGCCCCTCTGTTTCCCTGCCTCCCCTCTCCCTCCCGTCCCCATCCCTCCCCGCCCCTCTCGCCCCCCCCCCCCCCGCCCCGCCCCATCCCTGCCATCCATTGCCTATACGCCTGGTGCTTGCGGCTCCTCGATGCGCCGCCCGACCACCCCTCTCACCTCGCCCCCATCTTGCTGCGTGGCGAGCCCTAGGTCGGGACCTTCTGCTTAGCGTGTCGCCGCGGCGGCCCCGGCGAAGCGCTCCGCCTTGACAGCGGAAAGCGGGTCCTCCTCCTCCTCCTCCTCCTCCTCCTCCTCCTCCTCCTCCTCCTCCTCCTCCCGGTCTCGTGAGGTGCCTCCACGGGGCGCCACCACGCGGGCATGAAGCGAGCTGGGGGCGAGGAAGCACCTGCCCCACCAAGGTTGGTCCAAGAGCTCTTCCGAACTCAGGGGGAGGGAGGGCTGGGCTAAGGCCGCCATGGATGAGGTGCCGCAAGGGACGAGGCAGATGGGAGGAGACCAAGTGGCAAAACACACGAGAGCAATTTGCTATTACGGCAGCTCGTCCTTGTCACCCCACCCACCCTCCTCCCTACCTCCACCTCCTCCCCCTCTTCCTTTTATTCCCCTCATCCTCGCGGTCCTCTCCCTCCGCCTCATCGACCGTTATCCTCCTTTTCTGCGTCCTCGTCCCCTCTGGACCCGCGCTATCCTCATTGTTCCCCGACTTCTCTGATCGCTAACCTAGAGAGCCATCAACCAACTCTGGCCTATCTAGCCACAACGGGAATCCTCCAGGCCGCGGTAACCACCGTCAAGGCCTCCGTCCTCCTCCTCCTCCTCCTCCTCCTCCTCCCTCCCTCCTCCTTCCTCCTCCTCCTCCTCCTCCTCCTCCTCCGCCTCCTCCTCCTCCTCCTCCTGCTCCTCCTCCTCCTCCTCCCGTCTTCTCTTCCTTCTCATCCGACTCACCTCTCTCTACCTTCTCACATCATGCATCCTCCTCCTCTGAAAACTTCTGGCAACCTCAAGAGATCATCGGAATGTTTGCCAAGAGCATTGACGACACTCGAATATAGATTGAGCTGCCAAGGCACCTTACGCACAATATGATCGAAATCCCCGAGGAAACGCGATACACCCTCGCTTGACTGGAAAAAAATCCCCCCCTCCCCCCTCCGGGAAATCGGGAGGCAAGGGGGGGGGTAAATTCCTCCCCCCCCTCCCCGGGAAGAGGAAAGGGTGGCACACACACACACACACACACACACACACACACCCACACACACACACACACACCTACACACACCTACACACACACACACACACCTGCCCGGAAACCGGGGGGAGGAGGGGAACAGCAGCCCCCCTCCCCCCGGGTTCGAAACGGGAAGGGGGAGGGATGATCCCATCCCCGCTCAAAATTCCAAAATATGTTTTGGAGTATTGTTGGAGCTTAGTTGGAGCATTATTTGACATTTGTTTGAGCCTTGTTTGAATTGTGTTTGAGCTTTGTTTGGGCATTGTTTGAGCTTTGCTTGAGCTTTGTAGAGGTTTGCTTGAGCTTTGTTTAAGCTTCAATTGAGCTCTGGTTGAGCGTTGTGTGAACTTTGCTTGAGCTTTATTTGAACTTCGTTTGAGCCTTGTTTGAACTTTGTTGGCTTTGTATGAGGTGTGTGTGTGGCTTCACTGCCGGAAATCTGACGAATGACACTATTATTTAAGACATCTGAACCAGCCTCCCGAATTGTTTTAAACAAGCCTGGGCCGAATTCTGATATGAACAAAGCGAAAAAGCTCAAGAAACTGGGCCAGCTCTCCGGCAAGCTGGTTGAGAAACGCTGGCCTGGCCTTTCGGGAGGAGGTGTCTTAATCAGATGCTCGACTACATTTGAGCTTTGTTTGAGCTGTGATGGAACTGTGTTTGAGCTCTGCTTGACATGTGTTGGAGCTTTGTTTGAGCTTAGCTGGAGCTCTGTTGAGCGTTATTAGACTGAAGTCGGGCCTGTCCCCCTACAGGGGGATGTTCGACGAAAAATGAAAAATACCCCAAACATAATCAAAACA